TTGTCCAATTAAGAAAACAAGTGTGGTCTAAAGGTGTTTCATTTTTAGTTTCAACTCGATTACAAATCACACAGTAGCGATTTCGTTTGCTAATGTACAACACTTTTCTGGTTTTAAATCCAATAATAGTGGCTTATTCAATAATTAAATTATCACTATTTATTATAATATGTTTTACAATATTATTTTAATTTATATAGCTTACCACTCCAGATTATGAATCGTATTTGGTCTTGTAGCTTGGCTTACACCACTGGCCGTCAGCCACTACTGAGTAAAATGGTACTCCATCATCGTCTATATCTCCAGCTTCTATAGGCACTTGTTTTTCCTCTTCTCCAGCTTTCCTAATTTCTTCCCAAGCTAAACTGTGGATACTTGCACTTAAATCTTCGTGTTATCTACTAAATATGGTATTTGCTATACATGGTATTTCTAATGCAGATTCAAATAATTTAGTTTGGCCAATTCCTTTTAAATAAAAAAGTACATTCAAACGGTAACATATACTTGACTCTTATAGTCTGTTCAGAGCCGTATTAGCGCATAAGCACTATAGGCACTATAGTCTACGAACATTTTTGAACATACGAAAATGTATGGTAACGATTTTTCAGTAGTATGCAAATTGGTATAAAAAAAAAATTTCATGGTGTTAGACAATTTATATTATATAAATTTTGGATTAAAATTAATTTTTTTTAACATTTTTAAAACTTTTATCATATAAAAATGTATGATGGTTATCATATAAAAGTTAATATTTGATTTTTATGTTGTAAATATTATTGTTTTTAAAAGCTTAACACTGCATGAGATTCAACAATTCCTCTCCCAAAGAGAAGATTTTTTTTATCATTTAAATACTGGACAACGGCCCAGCAAGGACTAAGGGCCTAGGGCCTACGATAGTGTTAATCCTGGCCTGAGTCTGTTAATAATATAATATCATTAAATTCAAATTTTACACATCCATTACTATGACCCACACGACACAGAAGATCTTTACTCATTTAGCAACATTTTATGTTCTCGGGTAATTTAAAAAAGTTATAATTTAACAAAATAAATACTTTAGACAATAACTATTGAAGAATTTATCATAATAAATTAACAATCTTACCTATTGCGACAGTACCATTTTTAACAGCCTAGTTTTTAGGAAGGTAAGTTTCGTTTGTTTCGTAGAAATAATAGTTTCAATATTACACATTTGACACTGAAAATTAAAATTGGAAAAAAATCAATTCGTTTTTCAGAAACAAATACCATTGACATGAATGAACAATCGAGCACTCTTTTATGTGTTATTTCTTTAAAAATATGGTTAATATCTACTATTCGTCTACCAGATAATGGGACTGTATGAATTACATAAAACAAAATTAAATTGATAAAAATAACGAAACTTAAATCTAATATTTAAATTTATTTGTAAAAAAAACTATTTATATTTATGAGTTACATACTCAAAATCATCATTTCCGATTTCAGTTTGCAAATTATGTTAATTTGACAACTCAAAGAGATCGTATTTCTGTTAAAAACTTATAAAAAGCCAAATGGATAGGTCATTCTCTTGATAATGTTGTTATTTTTAATTTGTATAATAGGTTGTACTGCGCTAAGCATAATACTTTCGGAATAAAACCTATTTTTCAAAAACATAACCTTATTTTTATACCAAAATATAACTGCGCTAACATCCTCATAATACTAAAAAAAAAACCACAATAACGAGAAATGTTTTAGAAAGGTTATACTGATCTACACGTCGTTCAGACACACACGAATGTGTACAACCAGGCTGGAACTATCGCAGTCGTGTTAGCCTGCAGCGAATATGGAAAAAAACACATACTGAACGCAATATTTTTTTTTCTATAGTAAATACAAATATAACGGATAACCTGTCAACAGTGTACCTACTATAAAATAATTTATATATAATAGTTTAACATTAATCGAGCTCGTGTTTAATTTTTAAACATTAGAAAGCGGTTCAATCACCCACCATTGCCATTGCATCTAAATAGTTAATTCGGATTTTTCCAATCTATTTAATCAAAACGTAGTTCCGAATGAAAAAAAAACAATATTGATCTATTTCAAAATATAAATATAATTTACAGAATACAGTTAAATCATTTTTTCGGTTAGTTCTTCTCTAGTTTATCAATTTAGTAGATTATATATTAAACGTGTGAGTTTAGAACAAACAAACGTCAAAACGCGTAATCAAATACCCTATTATTTAAAAATGTGTAGATACATTCTGAAAAATACTCTACAAACTTAAAAAATACTCTAAAACAGTAACATATGCCCTAAAAATGCACATAATGTTAAATATGTCATAAAATTCCAAAAAATTCAAAACTACATAATATTAATGAGTATCACTTGAAACATTTTCTTCATACGGACCTATGCATTGGGACGTAAAAAAAAAAAATGCATCAAAATTCAAGCCCTCTTGATAACACAAAAATAAACTTAAAAACTCAAAAATAATTTAAAAGGTAATACAAAAACACCTTGTAAGTGATAATTTTTTTCTATAAAAAAAACTTATAAATACTATTTAAATTTCTAACTATAATTATCACTTGAATAAAATATAAAAAGTTAGACTAAATAAAATATTAACTAATTTCAGATCAGTGGATAATTTCACAAATACATTTATTAAAATTTGTATACATTTATCAATTAATTTTACAATGATAAAGGAGAACGTGCCAATTAGTTCAATACTTGATTACTCTTTCAATACGATCTTTCCGATTGATTGATAACCAGTTAAATCTTTTCTAGAGAGAATAATTATAAATTAATTACATTTTATAATTATTATTTAATCTAAATGAAATAAAATAATATACTTAATTGGACCATAGGGTTACGTAGATAAGTCCTTAACCTTTTTTATAAAGAAAATTATCTTTCGTTCTGTGCAGTTAATGCATAATCAGATAAGAGATTTATAGATAATACATTTTCAAAGCAGTATTAAAATATTTTATCTTTTTGTTAAAACTATATCATGTAACTTCAATAAAGGAAAGTGTTTTAAAAAAATATATCGGGATTGTCTTAATCCTCAGAACACCCCCCGTAAATACGACACAGCAAATATTGGTATTCTTAAGTAAATATTTATACATTCAAGAAAATTCCTCGGGAAATGTCAGGTACTGTTAAAAAATAGTATAAAAAAAAAATCTAATACTCAAACACAAAATAAGTTGTTTTATTTGACGTATAGAACCAATTAAATTTATTATTGTATTAATACCTGTTGGCTTAATACGAAGTATCATTATTAGTTATTTTGCTATCGTATGTAATCCGTTTCGAAAGAAAATATTCTGGTTCTAAAATACCTATATAAATATATATATATATATTGAAATTAAATTTAAGAACATTATCTATGTCTTCTCGCAGATTTTTTACGATATTTTAATTTTTAGTAAACGACATTGATTATCTTTAGTTTTTGACGTTTAAATACCAAATTGGCGAATTGTTCGGTAAAAAATGTCGGTGTCCTTGATAACTATTGCAACAATGGCTCGCGGCACAGCCCGGCATACTAAAAAGACACAACTCCAAGCCGAAAACAATTCCAAAGTCGGCAACTTAAAGGCACGTGATCGGAACGTATACGACCGTCGCAACTTGCGGAACAAGTTTCTCCCTTATTAAACTCTTGGATACATTTTGATCGTCATGCGTTATACAATACCCAGGGACACACATGCTTTTGAAATATACTCGATTCGTGACGATCAGTCGTTGGTTCGTCCCTAATCGATTTTGGACGTGTAATGATTATTATGCAGTCCAACGACCGTTCCTAAGCTATGCGTCACGAAGTGCGAGAATTCGACAGACGTGCATATATAATAAAGCATATTTATAACTAAAGATAGAGTAGATTCTTGTTGGCTAATAGAGATTAGAATACCTCGAATTATAAATCACGATCCTCGTTGAAACTCGCATTAGATGCATCAACAAATCATGTACGTACACAGAATTCGGATAATTCGTACAACCGATCGAACGGAAATCTTGCCTTTAATATTAGACTAGATCATATACTCAGTACGAAGCGATATAATACAATATAAGTAATAATAATAATAATAATAATAATAATAATAATAATGGAAAACACCTTGGAGAAGCTGTACAGTACATAGTCAATCTCAAGTTATCTTCCGACATAATTGTACGGAGTACACATTATGCTAAACCCAATGTACTCGCTAGTAGCAAATCACCTGCACAGGTCCATCCTGTACTACCCGAGACAGCGTTCCGCAACCGTAGCGCAACGGCGCAATAATAATATAAATATAATAATAATACGCTTACAATATTAACTAGTGGGTATCGAATACTAATTAAATTATTTAACTTAATTGATGTTTGAAATGAAAAAGCTATCGATAACGTATCAGAATAATATGATCCATCCAATATCGCATGCAGGGCCGGCGTTAGGGGTAGGTAAAACGAGGCATTTGTCCGGGGCTTAAAATTTTCATTTAAAAATATTTTTTTATGGAAATCTCGTAAAACAAAACGTGAAACGTGTGGATCGCCGCCAAGCGATTACGATTCCTCGAGAAATCCGTTGGCGTGTGTAACAAAACAACAATATTACATTTGATACATCATATACCGTACACGCCAACGACGTCGGTCATTGTCCGATATCGCGTGCAGCTAGCTGTTAGCTAGCCGAGCCAATCGTCGCCTATAATTACGGCTTGTACAGGCGACCACGGTTATTGGGTAGGATAAGTTTTGCCAAGGGCCCCGCCGGCCCCGGAATCGTACGGTTCGGTGGTGTGCATCCAGGCGGCTGCTCACGCGTGACCCGTTTACGCGTTTCCCGCGTCGATCTTCGTCACCGAACCGCGTAGGCTAGAGGGTTGTTGTCACGGGATCCGTAGTAAGAATGTACCAACTTGGATCGGTTGCAGGGTCGACCAGCGGTCGAACGGTGGCGGCGAGTTGGTCCTCGGGCCGAACGCGTACTCGTCGACGGCCAAGCGGAGCGGCGGCGGCGTCGCGGGCGGTTTCAAGCAGCTGGCGCAGCGCAAGACGGACGCCGCGCAACCGGTCGTGCTCGTGTCGATGACCAGGAGACCGAGCGGCAATTCCGGACAGTGGAAGCCGTTCAAGTGGAAATCGTTGGAACGTCTCGGTTCCGCGGACCCCGGCCATCCGCAGCAGCACCGCACCGACCCGGACGAAGACCGCCGCCGCGACCGTCATTGCGAGGCGACCAACACGACGACGTCGGAAGCAAGGGACAACCCGGCGTACAGACCGGACGGACACGACGTGTGACCGTGTGCCCGTCCGTTCCTTCACCGGTCGCGTTCGGGTTCCGCACGTTTTTCGGTTACTCTCGTTCCCCCCGTCCCCCGTCCCCTCCCCTCCCCCGCCCGTATCGGACCGTCGCGTCCAACCGCCCCGCGCGCGAGCTTCCCGGAAGTTCGCGAGTGCACGCCCCGGCAGCACTT